AGCCCTGGGCAGGGGCCCGAGGAGCTCACGCCACAGCCCCTGGGGAGCCCCACCCCCGCCCTGGCCTTTGCCCCACACAGACACCCACGTGGTCTCTCCCAGCACCCGGCCTGGCTAGCCAGGGCTCGGAGCCGGAACCCTGACCCGAGAGGCCAGCAGCAGGACCCAGATTGTCCTCGGTCCCTCGAGTCCCCACCGAGGGTGCCACTCCCAGGAAATGCCTTTATTTCTGCTTCAAACCACAGAACAGGGAGGGGTGATCCCGCCCCTGACCCTGGGCGGGAGAGGGCGGGGCTGGGGGCCTGGCCAGAGGAGGTGAGTGGAGGCAAGGCCCAGCTTTATTCCGGGGCCTGGGGCCCTCCCAGCGGTCAGGGAGCAGTGGGGCCCGCCCAGCGGTCAGGGAGCAGTGGGGCCCGCCCAGCGGTCAGGGAGCAGTGGGGCCCGCCCAGCGGTCAGGGAGCAGTGGGGCCCGCCCAGCGGTCAGGGAGCAGTGGGGCCCGCCCAGCGGTCAGGGAGCAGTGGGGCCCGCCCAGCGGTCAGGGAGCAGTGGGGCCCGCCCAGCGGTCAGGGAGCAGTGGGGCCCGCCCAGCGGTCAGGGAGCAGTGGGGCCCGCCCAGCGGTCAGGGAGCAGTGGGGCCCGCCCAGCGGTCAGGGAGCAGTGGGGCCCGCCCAGCGGTCAGGGAGCAGTGGGGCCCGCCCAGCGGTCAGGGAGCAGTGGGGCCCTCCCAGCGGTCAGGGAGCAGTGGGGTCCTCCCAATGGTCAGGGAGCAGTGGGGTCCTCGCAGCGGTCAGGGAGCAGTGGGGTCCTCCCAGCGGTCAGGGAGCAGTGGCGGCGTTGGCAGGGACAGCAGAATCTGGCCCTGGTCTTGTCCTATCCCTGGGCCGCGGGGCCTGGGCCTCGGAGCTGGCACACTCGCTGGCGGGGTGGCCTGGTACGTCCCTGGTTGTTCCTGGCAGGCTGGGCGCGGGGGCTGCGAGACAAGAAGGCCCCTGTTGGTGGGGCCACGCTCCTGGCAGGCTTGCAAAAAAAAATGTGGGGGGAGGGGGGACTGCACCTGGAGGGGCTGGTTGCAAGTTCCCCCGTGGGAAGGAGGGGTGCCGATGTGCACCCCTGGGCAAGGAGGAAGGGTGAGGTCAAGCTCTGGGAGCAGGAGCACCCCCTGCCCTGATCCCCCCCCAGAATAAGGAGTGACAGATGAATCCAGGGCAGACCTGGGGACGCCCCAGAACCCAAGTCCCACCCACCGAAGGGGGTGCCCTGGTGCTCTTCTGAGTGGAACCTGACAGAGGGTGGGACGGTGTTGGGGGGACGGTGGGTTCTGCCGTGGACAGGCCCAAGCTTCAGGGGGCTGCT